CTGGATGGGAAAGGCTGTCTTGCATCTAGGATTGCCTTGTACAAAAGAGGAGCTGATGAGCATCTTGCCACCCAGCATCCAGGAGCTCCAGCTCTCAACCATCCTGGTGAAGAGAATTCTAACCTGTCACTCCATCACTCCAGCCAACAGGTAGCCAACATTAACAAGCACAGCTGCCAAACCAATCAACCAACAGTTAACTATGGGCAATAGTGAGGCCAGAGGGACCAGCAGACCAGTCACCAGCTAAGCTCAACTCAGTGTTGGCCTCATGAGAAATTCTTGTTTTAAGTCACCAAGTCTTGAAGTGATTTGTTACACAGCAAATCTAACCAACACATGTCTGGGGTCTTAAACAGCTTAGAGGAATTGAGAGTGGCTATACTCTGTCCTGATTTCTTGTCCTCAGAGTCTGTGAGGGATGGGAATGTCTTAGTCTGGGTGAGCTCCTTAGAGATTAACCAGAAAGTCCGTCTAAATGCCCAAGTGAACAGTTTGAACACCGTGCTGTTCCATTAATGTTATTTAGAAGGCCCTTCATCTGACCAGAGTAGAAATATCAGGTAGTGAATAGGTAGTGAAAGGCCATTCTAAGATATAAACACACAGTAATACCACAACTAAATATTCTAGTTACTTGATGCTTTTTTTTTTTTTTTTTTTTTGGTTTTTTGAGACAGGGTTTCTCTGTGTAGCTTTGTGCCTTTCCTGGATCTCGCTCTGTAGACCAGGCTGGCCTCAAACTGGCCTCGAACTCACAAAGATCCACCTGGCTCTGCCTCCCGAGTGCTGGGATTAAAGGCATGCACCGCCACCACCACCGCCGCTGCCACCACCACCACCGCCTGGCCAGTTACCTGATTCTTAACAGAATTATTGTTTTTCTTGGTTGCCAAGGCCACTGCGAGGGCAGAGACAAGCACTTGAGTGGTGCAGCTCACTTCTCCAGCCCCTTGTGCTACCCATCAAAGCCCTGTACTTATCAGGATAGGTGAGTCTGCCCCCCCCCCCCCCAGCCCCTTAACATCACCTCCTAATTTTTAACCCAAGAGATTGTTTCTGGATAGATGTCAGATCTCTGCAGAGTTCTAAAACAAACAAACAACAAGCTGAGGTCATTGTGTGAAAAACTTGCAATAAAGTGGAGCCCAGCTGGTAATGGATTGTCAAAATGTAGATCCAGGCATAGCACTAATCAATACAAACTGCATTTAAATATTGGTCATTTAGTTGCAAGTTCAATCAGATACCTACACAAGTGTTAAGGAGGAAAATTCTTAGGCCTTTATGAAGTCTCAGAAGAGAAGTTGGTTGAGGTCTAAGAAGATACATAATTACCTCTTCAGCTCTCAATGATCTTGACATATTATGTCGTCAATTATTCAAGGAATGTATATGAATATGTCAAGAGTGAAGAGGAAATAATACATGCAAAAGAGGAAAAAGGATAATGGAGATAATCAGAAATTTCTTTCACAGTTTCAATCCAGCCAGTATCCCATGCCATAATTACAAGGACATAGTGTACCTTGAAGCTGATTTTCCAAAAACTTTTACCAGAGCTGCACATGCTCTGTGGGCCCCTCTCTTTATCATCAATCAATGATAAATTTCACTTTTGAAGTATGCCCTTTGCATTGCCAAATGCCGTCCTGATTTCCTTGCCATTCCTTATGATAACAGGGCTCTGTGCCTCTAATTTGCTGTGTCTCTTCCTTCTGTCCCCCTACATCTCTCCCACATCTTCTTTTCACTCTATAGCTAGAGCAGCTTCTCAAAAACACATCTTGTCTGTCTTAGTTAGGATTAAATATTGCTGTGCTGAAACACCATGAGCAAAGGAACTTGGGGAGGAAAGAGTTTATTTCACTCACAGTTTCGCATAACCTTCCATTACCGAAGGTAGTGAGGGCAGCTGTAGCACTCAGGAGAGCAGATCTTGCACCTTGCCTGGTTGTCAATGATGGCGTGGGTACAGATGAGCTGACCCCACCTCCTCATCATCCATTTGGTGACATGGGTGAGGGAAAGATGCCCCCTACCCCTTGCCACCTGTGGCAGATGGGAGAGCTGTCTCCCAGGGTCACGAGGAGCTGGAGACCTGGTCCTGCCCCTCACTGATTGCAGCACATGGGAGAGCAGGCCCTGCACCTGACCTGGGGATCACACTAGAGCTGGCCTTGTTGGCAGGGGAACAGGTAAACTGGTCCTGTAGACAAGAGAACAGGAGAGTGGCACCTGCCCCCTCCCTCATATGCCATGTAGTGATGTGGGTGGGGGAAATATACCCCCTTCCCACACCTTGCCAACTGCGGCAGTTAGGAAAACCAGCTTCTGGGATATGAGAACAGAAGCGAAGGCTCTGTGTCTCAACAACTGCAGCAATCTGGAGAGCAGGCCATACACCTTGCTTGAGCAAAACAGTAGAGCTGGCCCTGGTGGTGTGAGTGCAGGAGAGCCAGACCTGAAGGTGTGAAAGCAGGAAAACTGGCCCTGCTCCTTGTTGCCTGTTGCACTGGGCAAGCTAGATGGGGCAGTGCTGGAGAGGTCACCCTACTGGTGACCATGAAGGAGACTGGCTGGCTGATGAGCCCAGCTTCCACCCAGGCTCAGAACCAGGGCTATTAGTTATCCCACCACAACATCCACATCATCTATGAATGGCTAGAGTATGTGAAGGGGCCAAATCTGCAGATCCAAAGATCTGGATCCACAGGACACAGGACAACAACAGGCTATCCAGGAGGAGTCCCAGTGAGGGCCCAGTATCAATAGGGTAGCAGAAGCCAGAGGCTTTAAGCCAAACATTAATCCATTGCAAAGAACAAGTAAAGATGTATGGACTAAGGGGTATACTGTGTGACTCACTAGGCCACACTACAGCTTCCACAAGGAGATTTTTGTTTTACTTTGTTTTGTTTGGGGAGGGTAGAAGCAAGGGAATGGGGAGATGAGTGGGATCCAGATGTGTGATGTGAAATCCACAATGAATCAATAAAAAAGGTTTTTTTGTTGTTTTGTTTTTTAAGTAGTGAGGGCAGGAACTCGGGCAGAGCTAGAAACTGAAGGCAGGAGCTGATGCAGAGGCCGTGGATGGGTGCTGTTTACTGGCTTGTTCCTCATGGCTTGCTTAGCCTACCTTCCTATAGAATCCAGGAACATAAGCCCATGACTGGCACCACCCACAATGAGCTTGGCCCTTCTCCCATCAATCGCTAATTAAGAAAGTGCCTTACAGGCCTGCTTACAGCCTGATCCTATGGTGGCATTTTCTTAATTGAGGTTCCTTCCTCTCAAATGACTTCAGCTTGTGTCAAGTTGACACAAAACTATCCAGCACATTGTCACAGCCTTCTTGCCTGAAATCTTCCATGTTTCTCTACTACAGCCAAAGCCTGCAGCCTACAGGCCTCAGGTCCTCCATGTGGTATCCCACTTGCTCTGTGCTGTTTTGCGGATTAAGCACTAGAAGGTTCTGATTCTCAGCTACTTCATACTTTTTACATTGGAATCTAGCAGGTGGGCCCACAGGATGTGGCACAGCAGAGAAGTCAAGAGACATGAAAGATACAGATGGGCTTGGACTCCCGAGCCCTGCTCCCTGTCCCTGAAAGCTCTGGCGTGTCAATCTTCCCTTCTGTCTTACTGTGTGACTTTCCTGAATCTGGTCTCCCTTAGATGATTAAGGTTCTGAGTGGTAGGACCCTGCTTCTGCTCAGGCAGGCTGCCTCTGTACTCACCAATCTCCAAAGGCCTTAGCATTTCTGTTCAGCTCTATTCAGGGTCAGCTGTTTCTGTACTTATCTCCTAGGGCTGGGATTCTCTCCCAATAACCCACCAAGCCTCCATATATCTGGTCTCACAATACAGGGCTTCCACTTCCATAATGATCTCTGACAGTCTCCCACTCAAACCAATGTCAGATCTACATCCTCTTCAGGGACTGTTTTCAGAGCCAACAAGACACTCTTTCACCAGAATTTCTGTGTCAAATTCCAACTGCATTTGTGGTGCTTGCTTCTCCAATTCATACAGGACCGGCAGATTTAGACACTTCCTCTTGGCCAAACACCGAGACTTTGGCAAACAGCAAGTACTTGCAACAGGCATTAGCACAGAAGCCAAAGCACCCAGCATCTAGCTTCCCTCAGGCTCTGGCTGGCTGCATGCTCTTATCTTCCCATTAATGTCATAAGATGGTATAGAGGTCTCTGCTTACGGAGGTGGCTATTCAGAGACCCGTTGGTGGCCCTCATAAACTCCTTTCCTGAACATTGTCCTCAAGCCCCAGGTGAACACCCTCTGTTTGCTGCTCTTCTGCACTACAGCAGCCCCTCAATGACTCACACATCACATGGCTGGCAATCTCTGTGCCATATCTCAGAGAGTCCTGCTTGTATGTCTTTGTGTGTGTGTCATTCAGATGCCCCCATTTGTCTTAACTACTAAAGATGTAAGGCATGTTGGCTTCAGGGACATAGTTCAATGGACCACTTCTTTCCCAGGATTTGAGAGGTCCCAGGTTTAATTCCCTTATCTCCCCTTTTAAATTTCTGTTGTTTCTCCTGGAGAGTTCTGAGGTAGAAATGATCTACTAGTAGAAACTTCAGATGTCAAACTAAGGGGCCCACTGTGACAGCAAAACACTTCTCTAATTGTTCCCACACCATATGTCTCTAGCCTCATATGTCCCTCTCTCTGTCTCATAGGTTATTCAGTGGCAGTATCCTTAACTGCCCAGCCATCCAGTGCTGGAGTTTGTTGCCCTGCCTACAGGGCTATTACCAGGGGTCACCTTTGGCCAGAATCACTGCACAGCTCCCAGTCTTTTTCCATTCCTTCCATCCTTCACAAATGCTCAGGAGTAAAGTGGTACCAAGAACATCTTCTGTATTTTTGCATAACAGTTTCACTCCCTGGCTTTTGCTGAGCACTCACAAGTACTCCCCAGACCCCATTGCCCCCATCCCAGAAGGTCTCCAACAAGTACATCCTCTGACCTCCAGCTCCTGTAACTCCTCTTCTTCTTCCACATCGTAGGACAGGGTGTGGATTTTGATGTCATCAGCTGAGAGGTCGATGAATTTCCCATCGGGGTATTCCAGGCTGTCTTTGGTGGGTGACCGGTCCTCAATGAAGGTAGTCTCACAGCAGTCAGTGGCCACGCCATCCCCCCAAGAGCGGAGTACACCATCTGAGTAGAGGATGATGTTGGGACGATAGTGGGACTCCATGGACTGCTGTAGTGTGTTTGGGTCCAGCAGTTGCTGCACTGGCTCACTTCTGCCTCCTTCCAGGCTGCCTGGTGTTGCATTGGCCACCAGCCTGTGGCTCTGGTACTGAGGTGCTGGGTAAACGGACACCAGGCCATCCCTGCTCTCAGCCATGAAGTTTCTGGTGTTAATTAAGCCATTCCTTTTGCCAGCATCACTGATCTTACTGTGCACCAGAACACTCTTCTGCTCAATGATGCCATCCATGGTAGACTCCCTCCCTGCTGGGCGTCAGGATAGCAGGCTGTATTCACTGGTCACACGAGCCCCATAGGACCCATTTCCCTGAAGGAGCAGGAAACAGAGAAAGTAAAAATTATGCAAAGTTCATCACACAGACCCACATTGAGTCAGAGTTTATTAGTCATTTGACATGCATAGTAGCTACAGAGTCAAATAAATACAGTCCATCCTGTTCTGTGAATTTCAAAAAGGCCCCATTAGTGTGCCATCCAGATTAAGCCAGAAATCGATTACCTGCATCTCTAAGAAGTCTTTGCTTCCAAATGGGGGAAGCTGCAGGAACTGGATCTACTGCAGCCCTGCAGAAGCCCCTGCCTGCCAACAGACATCTTGAAACTCCGAGAAACTCAATCACATTAGCATCCCAATGGTCTACAGAGAAATAGAGTTGTGTTTCTGTAGTGGGGATTGACTATTCCAAGCACCCAACCATTCATTCAAGCAGGAGAACACACCAAGAGAAGACAGTTTAAAACCATACCCTGCAGAGACAAAAACTTAGTGGCAGGAAGACCATGCCACTAGATGGTATGTGGACACAGTTCCACACTGAGGACATACGTTATGTACATACCAGTGCCTTCTTGTGTGCCTAGTAGGATGAGCACTGCACTCATAAATAAACACTGACTCCAAAAGGTGTAGAAAGAAAGAGAAAGAGGAGAGAGGGCGAGGAAGGAAGAACGAAGGAGACCAGAGCTTAAAGTTCTAGGAAATGTAACGAGGGCATTTCCTCAGATTGCATGTTAATAGCCATTATATATAATAACATCTCGTGTGACTGAGGAGATGGCACAATTAGAAAAGTGCTTGCCATGAGAGCATGAGGACCTAAGTTAGATCCCAAGAACCCACATAAAAGAAAAGTGCCCAATCCTCTAATCCCAGCACTGCGGGGCAGAAACAGGAGGATCCCTGGAGCTGGCTGGCCAGCCAGTCTTGCTGAATCAGCAAGCTCCAGGTTCAATGAGAGACCCTGTCTCAAAAACCTAAGGTGGACAATGCTTGAGGAAGACATGTGAGAGCAAGCTCTGACCTTCAAGCACATGCACACACGTATGCAGACATGCACATGAATATGGATACCCGCACAAAATTTCATCTCGAGCTCCTCTAGCACTACATTTTCTATAACCTTTAAGTATTTTCTAATTATAGACTTTTGATTGTATGTGGTGGTAAATACAATATTCTAAAATTGCACTCTGATGAAAGGAAGAGTGGTGGAGAGGACCTTTGTGACTAATTGAAAATTCTGAGATCAGGTTCAAATAGCGAGGTCAAACTACAGCATAAGCCCCGAGAGATAATAGGAATTATTAATGTGAAACCATGTACGGTTTAGAGAGGGGTCACAATGCACCGTCACCTCTGCTTATGCAGGCTTGACATGTCTATCTCCAGAGATGTTATTCCTATTTGGGAACTAAAATCTTGAATTAAATTGCTTGATGAGAGATTTTGTAGGGGTGACTGTAATATACCAAGGGTAACCTGTTTGAGGACCACCTCTATGCTTCATGTTTTTCAGGCACTCACAAGGTGCTTCTGAGGTATTTCTGGTCCCATCTTTCTCCTTCTACAGAGTAGGACCTGGCCTGCCCTGCTGACCGAGTCCCTTGTTATCATTGTGGTCTGGTGGGTGTATTAGCAAGCCTAGAGAAATCTTGAAGACCCAGCTTCTCAGCCTGAGTTCCATCTACCCAGACCTTGTAAATATCTTTCTAGCAAACACTGATTGCATTGGTTCAAATTCGGCCTTTCAGCTTCTTCCATTGAATTGCATGCTTTCGGACAACCAGAAGTAACATTTCCATTGGCTGGTGAGTGCCCATCACTACTTCTTGACTTTTTCCCCTTATGATTCCCGTTGCATTCTTCTGTGCCAGTTTGACAGCTGCTGAGGTCAGCATCCTTCTTCTACCCAGACAGGAAGTTACGACCAAGGAATCAGTGGCGCATTTTCCCTTTCTTGCACAAGGTATGGAGCAGGCACATATGGAGTCAGGGACTGTGTATTGAAGCAAACTGTCTTCAGAATTATGCAATTAGAGTAAGCCCTGGTGTTGTCTCCCTGAGTTGGCCATGCACTAGAGGTGGGTTCAATATTAAGGTGCTTTGAGGCAGATATGGCTTCATTTCTTTCATCATCCCTGTAGTTTGTTGCTCAAAGTGTTGTTGACACACAGAAGACTCAATGGTTCCTGGGAGTTGGTTAGAAATGTAAAAGAGCTGAGGTATAGCTCAGGCAGACAAAGCACACTTAGAACACACTGGGTCCTGAGACTATCCCCTGCTCCACACTTATGCACATAGGACACATACAGACCAGAAACCGCAGCAGAATACATGCCTTTTGAACCACAACCTACATTCTTATATGATTTCTGCATCTCAGTCTTCACATGAAGGCTTAAGGCTAGGTGAGCTATGTAAGTATGGGTAGGGGGCTTGCACTATTCTTTTTCTGTTTTTGTTTTTGGTTTTTTTTTTGAGACAGAGTTTCTCTGTGTAGTTTTGGTTCCTGTTCTGGATCTTGCTCTGCAGACCAGGCTGGCCTCAAACTCACAGAGATCCACCTGGCTCTGCCTCCCGAGTGCTGGGATTAAAGGCGTGTGTCATCACCGCCTGGCAGCTTGCACTAATCTGTAGCAATGTAATCATGTGACAAGTTGTTTGGTTTTATAGTTGATTATTTACTCTTTTTTTTGAGATTATACCATAATTACAGTATTTTCTCCTTACATTTCCTCCCTTCAATCCCTCCCCTATACCACTCCCCACTCTCCTTAAAATTCATGGCCTCTTTTTTCATTGGTTATTATGACATGCATAATATAAATACATATTGTATTTATATAAATATTTATATTATATATAGTAAATATAACCCACTCTGGCCATATAATGCTGCATGTATGAATGCTTTCAGGGATGACTGGTACTAGACAACCAATTGGTGTGCTCTTCCCTGGGGAAAACCACCTCTCTTGCTCCCAGAAGACATGTAAATAAGAGTGAGACTAGCTAGAAAGAAAAAAGAGTCTAATAAATGAGGGAGGGAGGGAAGCAAGAGAGAGCCTGAATCTGAACAAAACACAAGATATACAAGTATGAAATTATCAAATATGCATTGAACACATGCATGAATGTTTTAAAAATAAAAAGAAGAAAAATGTGAAATCTGAAACACTTCAGGTCCAATGCATTTTTGAAAGATTTATTATTTAATTATGTGCATGTTATATGCATATGAATGAGAATTCAGGTGTCCCCAGAGGCCAGAAGAGGAGGCCGGATCACTTAGTGCTGGAGTTGCAGGAAGATGTAAGTAGGCTAAACTTGGATCTTCTGTAAGAACAGTAAAAAAAATCTCTGAGCCATCTCTCCAGCCCCAAGATGTAGTCTACTAATAGTTATTATTAATAGCTAAGATGCCTGGGACTGCTTTTAAAATAATCTAGATAGAAGAGGTGAGTACTGACAATGAAATAACACCGGTGATGAATTGAGAATTCATGAAATTGGTCGATGAGATATGTTTGCTGCTACATAATTCTCTCTAGTTCTATGTATGTCTGCAATTTTCTATAATAAAGAAGATCTTTCACCACTCAGTGAAACTGTGTGTGTAAGGGACACTGCAGGCAGAAGGAGCAGCATTAGGCCAAAGCCAGCAGGTGTGTGTGGGGGGGGTACTGGCAGTAGGTAAGTAGAGAGAGGACCTAGACATGAAGGAGGAAGGGTAGGGTCTTCTATGAGGCCTTTACTTGTTTGTTTCTCTGTGCTGGGTATCTAAGCTTGAATCTGGTGCATCCTAGAGAATTTATTACTAAACTGTCTCCCTATCTCTACTTGGGGGCTCTTGAGTCCCTGTGTAAAGAGACAACCAGTGAATTGCAAAGGTTTTTGAGTGAGATGCACTCATCACAAAGGCCATTCAAGTCTGTGGGTCTGTGAGCAGTGTGGGGAATGAGTTCCAGGAAAAGTATACCAATACAGATCTGGTACTCCACAATAATACCATCTCTACTACTCAGCTGACTTCAGAAACACAGAATATCCTACAAGATTTTACATGACCCAAGAGAGCCACAGCAATGTTGCTTCATGCTGTGTGTCCCACCTATGTGAAAAGAAGTCATGATGAGGCAAGCCAAAGAGTCTCCTCCAGTTGCCCTTATTCCCTAGGGAACAAAACTACCTGCTGGCAAGACCAAGTTTAGTTTCTTCAGTCCTCTGTCATGGACAGGCTCCTGGTGTGGGAGGCAGGCATGGTGCACTGGCTCAGAGTTACAGGCTCAGTTCAGAACAGACAAACTCAAAGCATAGCTAGTCCAACCCAATCAGTTTCTACTAAGGTTAGTAAGGCAACTGTTTACCTGAGACTGCTTCTGAAGAATCGTTGGAAACCTGTTATGAATTTCCTGCCCTAGAAACCCACCAAAATAAAAGGCAACAAAGGGCAACAGAACACACCTGAATGGACAGAGGCAGAGTTCTGACCCCCTCCATTTCCCCTGTGCTTGTTTTCTTTGTGGCTTATTTGGTCATTTATTCTAGATGCTTCTACTGCTGTTAGTCTAGACCTAGACTCTTTCTCCACATAGATCTCCTTCTGTCTTTAATTTCAAATGCCATTTCCTGTGCTTCATCCCTTGGATGCCATTCAGGGACAAGGACCTGTTCTTGGTCCTGGTGACGCCATATAGACTCAGCTCACTCTGCCCAGCTGGTCAGATTTTTTTTTTTTCAAATCAGAAATATGGTAATCGGATGCTCCTGTTCCTGTCCTGTACAGGACAGGTCTCTCTCTTTCCCTCCCTCTTCTCTCCTCCCATCTCTCTGTGTGTCTCTCTCTCCCTCTGTCTCTACCTCTCTGCCTCTCTGTCTCTCTCTCTGTGTTGGGGGAGTTACTTTTAATTCATCAAAATATAATTAACAGAAGAGATGTTTATAAAAGAACTCTAGATTTATTCATGTTGGCACATTTAAAAAATATATGAACAATGACATTTGGGGTCATTGGCCATCAAGCCAAC